AGATGAACATTCAAAAGCATTAGTTGAGAAACAGATTATTCAGGAAATTGAATGTGGAAACTATCTTCCATGTAAAAAACCTGTGACTATTATCAGTAGTTTAGGAGCCATTCCCAAAAGTGATGGCAAGGTAAGACTGATCCATGACTGTAGCAGACCAGTTGGTTACAGCCTTAACTCACATGCTACTACTACCAGCTTTACATATGAGACTATAGATAATGCCTTGAAACTGCTACCCCCCCCGGAGGATATATGGCCAAAGTTGACTTAAAACATGCCTACCTCAGTGTACCCATACATCCGGATTGCTATGCAGCTACTGGGTTGTCATGGACTTTTTCAGGTGGAATAATACCTAACTATTTTGTGGACACAAAACTTCCCTTCGGTGCCTCAATGAGCCCACAGGTTTTCAATCGTCTTTCTACAGCTATATCGAGGATGATGAAATGTAGAGGGTTTGTGATAGTTGCCTACATGGATGATTTTTTGATCATTGGTAAATCAGAAGCAGAGTGTCAAAACGGTTATGATACCCTACTTACCCTGCGAGTTAATCTTAGATTTACAATTAACTATGAAAAAGTGGAAGCACCGTGTCAGAAGCTGGTATTTCTTGGAATTGAAATAGACAGTGTGTCATTACCTCATGATAAACTTGATTCGTTGAAAGTCCTCTGAGGTCCTGGTCCAGTAAGAAGAAAGCAACAAAACGTGAACTTCAAGTGCTTGTGGGAAAACTTAACTGGGCATCTCGTGTTGTGTATGGTGGACGTACTTTTCTTCGTCGTCTAATCGATATCATGAACTCTTTAAAGCGCAGCTCACATCATGTGCGACTGTCACAGTCCTCTAGAAAATATATTCAGTGGTGGAAAACCTTTTGCCAAACCTTTAATGGTATCTGCAGCTTCCTAGATGCTATTTCGGTGCCGTGCATGATTTCTCCATTGATGCTTGTTCTACTGGTGGCGCAGCATATTACAAGAATGACTGGTTCTACTGCAGCTGGGAATCTGATTTTCCCAATATGTCGAATGAACACATCAACTTGAAAGAACTATTTGTTGTATATCTTTCAGCTAAGAGCTGGTGCAAGAGATGGCGCAATAAACGCATTGTTGTTTACACTGACAATGTCACTGCAAAAGCATGCATCAATAAGGGAACTTGCAGTAATCCTCTTGCAATGTGGTGGCTTCTTGACTTGTTTTGGCTGTCGGCGGTGCATAATTTCCGTCTATCAGCTAGACATATCCCTGGTGTCCTTAACTTCGCAGCCGACTCGTTGAGCCGACTACATGATCCTAGTGATCTAAGCAAAGCAGTGCCTTACCTTCAGGCATTACCTCATGACTGTGGTTCATGTAATTCCTTGACCATGCTGATGATCTGGGACCAACATATGACTGATAGGGCATTTACTTTTTTGCAGGCCCAGTGGGAGAACAATGGACACTGCTTAGATCTGAATTGTTGCAGCTAAAAAGTCATTGTTATGCGGATTCAACTAAAAGGACGTACTCATCAATGAGGTGACAGCATACCTGCGTTTTTGCCTCTACTTTGGATTGAGACCTGTGCCAGCGGATACACTAACCATCCTACTGTATGTAGTGTTTTTCTCGGGCGGACACCAGTATCCCCAATTATGTGAATGTTGTGCGCCTTATGCATGTGGAAGTTGGACTCCCAAACCCGACAGATAACTGGGAGTATAAACTCCTACTCAGGGGTGTCAACCGGTTGAAAGGTGTACCACCCAAACAGAAGTTGCCTATCACTGTTCACATCTTGCAGGAGATTCGGAACAGGATCGATACATCTGTTGCCTTCTATAAGGCATTCTGGGCAGCCTGTGTTAATGCCTTCTTCGGCTTTCTCCGTAAATCTACATTGTTGCCCCGGAAAGAGAGCGATACACTCTCTCATTGTCTCCTCATGTGTGATGCTAGCTTGTCTGATGACAAAAAAACTGCAACCATAGTGATCAGACACACCAAGACAATTCAGTTTGGACAAAGAGTACTCAGGTTGCCCCTCCACTGGATTCCGGGCTCACCCCTGTGTCCAGTGAAAGTTCTAGACAACTTACTCCAGCTGTTTCCACCGTCCATCTCACAACAAGGTATTCCACTTTTTTCCTACTTGGACAATCATAGAAACATTAAGTGCCTGACTTACAATACCTTTGTGAGTACCCTCAAGAAAATCTTGACTGTATGTGGATACAAGGCAGATGACTTTAGCGGACATTCCTTCCGAGGAGGAGGTTGCACATTTGCCTTTAAAGCTGGACTGTCAGCACCGTTCATTAAACTGAGAGGTGACTGGAGATCCAATGCATATGAACGTTACATCACTTTAGATGATGAGTTACATGAGAGAGTGTCGCAAGTACTCAGTTTGTATGTACTTTCTAGTTAACTGATCTTTGGGGGGTTTGGAGAAAATTGCAGTGTTCGTACTGATTAATTACATGTTTGGATTTGTTTGGATTAAGTTAAAATAAACTTGACCCTTTTCCCCCCAAAGATCAGTTGTTGTGTTATCATTAGTATTGCTTACACGTTTTGATAAACTATGGAAGGTTTAATTCAATATTATACATTCCAGGGCCATTCTTGTGCATACATGGTTTTGTATGAAAATCAGTTTATTTGTGTTTTAAAATGAGCAATTATCATTAGAAATTCAACGTGGATTCCAATCATTTCTTCGTTTTTTTATGAGTCAAAGGATCATGCGGGTCAGAAAACCTCATTTTTTTTCCATCGTGGTTAGCACGAGACGTTTTATGTACGTGTTGAAAACCTATCCTTGCAAAAATAATAAGTTCTTTGTGTATATTCTAAACTAGTTATGTATGATCACTCTGTGGTTGACTGATAAACTAACGTTTATTTACTCAGATCTTGGGTTGTAAGGGTTGGTTGTGCACATTGGTACCTCTGCCTAGCAAGCTGATTCTCCAATACTGGCGTTTTCATAAAATAGAGATACTTTGTATTGCACTGAACGACCGGAATGAGCGTAGCAGTAATAAGAGACGACGTTTCCCATACCCTGTTGTTGTGCTTGATTGTGAAGTTGATATGGACCATGGACAATCGCTTCTGATAGTTATTTTTCTGATGTTTACGGTCATATCTGGTACAACATTTCATGGGTTCACATTGGTGCAGCATATAACGTTCTTTGAGGTATTGTGAGTTAAATGTATGAAACAGGGATATATGACATTCATGACGACTGTTGAATGCAATAACATGGCACAGACGTATGCCCCTAGATGAGATGCGAAGTTCTGAAACAGAAAATAGCACTTGTGAAGCGGGTTGAAGTTTGGCCAAACACTCCGTTGCCCATTGATCAGCAAATACATTTATTTGCTTGCTGGAGTGAGTGATTGAGTGAATTGGGTTTTACGCCGCTTTTAGCAATATTCCAACAATATCACCCATGTAGGGAATCGAACCCGGGCCTTCGGCGTGACGAGCGAACGCTTGAACCACTAGGCTACCCCACCGCCCCTGCTTGCTGGAAGAAGAAGCATCGAATGAATGCAGGTCTAGACCGCAATGGAAGTCATCTGTGACGTCAACAATGGAGACGCGTCATTGCTTATTGCGTCCTCATAAGTATTGACGTCACAGACAAAACACATCAACAATCATCTGACGTCATAGATATTGAGTATATCGGCAATGTAGGCAGGGTAGGCGACTGGCGGACGTTTTGCTTCCTGAGTTTGCTACAAAAGAACATGTAGTCAAGCGTTGGTAGGTGAGCGCTTTTCTTCTTATGCGAATTCATTTTTGACATTTTCTTCTCAACCCAAAGCGTGAGGGGCGGTGAGATAGCCTAATGGTTGAAGCGTTCACTCTTCACGCCGAATAGCTGGATTCAATTCCCAACATAGGTACAATGTTTATTAAAATGTTAAAACAATTAGATGCCTGGATATTAACAGGCAAATGGACAAAACAAATCCGACTGAAACATTTATTCAAGTCACATAACCTATAAACATTGTTGATAGATGAGTGATATGTACAGATGGATTCATTACATGTGATATGTACAGATGAATTTATTACATGTGATATGTACACATGGACTGGTGTATGTGTGATATGTTGTATGTGTGATATGTTGTACAGATGAATCGACAAATATATGGTATATACAGATGGAATCATGTACAAGGATATATACACAATGTTTGATAACATCAGAGCCCTTTCAGAATCATGTAAAACATGACGCCTTTTACAAGGCACAGTAATGATTGAGATCATTAATGATATTGCACGATGTTCTCTACCAACATAACAAATAATACAATCCACCGATAACGCAGTGCGAGAACTTCAAGTCCACAAACAACTTCTGTGTGTAATATTCTCTGTTAACATGTTGTATGGTTCTAGCGTTCACTTGCAACGTGAAGACATTGCTGTTACGGTTGCAATTTCAGACGTTGGGAAGGACACCTCATTCAAATTGAAAGGCTTATAACTTCACCCCTCATTGTCAACTTTCTCTCACGATGTGACGCTCAGAAACATTTCCTGTGAACAATGCTAGGTCCAGATTCATCATACTCCTGCTTGGAGATCCACTGCTGTTGAAAGGTTGAAAGCGAGGCCAAGATGGAGCCGCCGATCCACACCGAGTACTTCCGCTCAGGTGGAGAAATAACCTTGACCTTGATTGTAGACGGTACGATGGCGCTCAGTTCCTTCGCCATACGGTCTGCCAGACCTGTAAAATAACAGCGTTATTATTTGCACAAAATGTGACAATCATGAATGAGAACAATTTACAATGCAAAGGGGTGAAATGCTACAGAATCGATTACAGTGCATTTTGTCCATGAACAACCATGTCTAATCCCAGACACGGCCATTGCCTTGGCAGCTATAGCAAGAGCTCACCTGGATACATTGTTGATCCTCCTGACAGAACCACATTGCTGTACAGATCCTTCCTGATGTCAATGTCACAGTTCATCACCGAGCTGTTGACCATCTCGTGGATGCCTGTACTCTCCATACCTGGAGGGAGAACATATGTATGAGAGAAGGTGTTGTGATTATATACTACTGTTTATTATATGTATCAAGGACCAGCGTCAAGTATACATGTTTATCACTGAACAATATCGATCATCGTCTGTGCTGATGACGATAAATGTTTAAAAAACACAAGTTCCGTTAGAACTGGATTATCCATCATCCTGTAACACTTACCCGTGAAACTCGGCTGGAACAGACACTCCGGAGCTCGGAACCTCTCATTGCCGATCGTTATCACAGACCCGTCCGGCAGCTCGTATCCTTTCTCAATGGCGCTGGACTGTGCAGCTGACACCATCTCTGACTCGAAGTCCATGGCAACATAGCAGAGCTTCTCCTTGATGTCTCGCACTATCTCCTTCTCAGCTGCAAACACGACAGTTCAGCTTGTCACAAACACGATACACGTGCAAAATAAGTGTATCGGAAAGTGTTATTGATAACTATAAACATATGGATCTTATACAGTGCAGATTGATCACTATTCCGCGACCGAAACAATTCGGTCATGAAGGCTGACAGAGATGAAACAAAACGATGCTTTTGAGTTTTTCGATTCACACAGAAATTATTACTTTGAAAATAAAATAAATATTGAAATGGCCTTCTGGCTCAATTTCAGCTTAACTAAACCGAAGAATCATACATTACTCAAAAGAAAGGAGTTGCGCGATTATTAACTGTTAAAAGAGTTGTCCTCAAAGGTTTGTTCAAAGAATAACTGAGTGATTATCACAGTTTTACGAAAAACTATCGTAAATGTGAGTCTATATCATGGTAAGGTAACGTATGGAATATAAGTAATATGAAGCCATGTGTGGACGACTCACATGATGTAGTAAAGTTGTATCCTCTCTCGTGGAGAATCCTGCTGAGGTAGGAGGTCAGGTGACGGCCAGCCAGGTCCATTCTCCGGACAGCGTGGGGCAGGGCGTAGCCTGAGATAATCACAAATTAGGTTATACAATAAGTATCGTGTCACTGACAGAAGAACATGTTATGTGGAACTTCAAACCTTGAGAATATGAAATAACACTTTGAAGTCTGTTTTGAAATACCCGGATTTGTCTCACCTTCATATATGGGCACGACGTGCGAGACGCCATCTCCCGAGTCGAGGACAACGCCAGTGGTTCTCCCCGAAGCGTATAACGACAGCACCGCCTGGATGCTTACATAGAAGGCGGGAGTGTTGAATGTCTCAAACATTATCTGTAATAAGGAAACAATCATGAGTCACACTAAGATATAATTTAAGGGTACCCCCATGTTTAAACATTTCCTATATGCTACAATTCTTCTGTTTTAAAAAGATGTACAATTTCAGCTTGATTGAAACACATCAAACACATCGCCTCATTTAGTAACATGCAACCTTGAACATATTCCCAGTGAATGTTGTTATATGCCGCTGTCAGCAATATTCCAGCTGCATCACGGAGCCTGTTCAAAATCGAGTCCAGTTAAATATGTGGTTGACATCAAGAACAACTGTCAAAGGACGGTAACTCATGGAGAGCCATGTGACTCATCGTAAATACAGGAACTGCATTGGGCTGTTCAAATTTTGGAGAATGTATTATTTTGCTGATCGGTAGGAGAAGAAGTGTGCCCTTAAATCTCCATAATGGTAAAAATGTTTACATGTTTGATGCCAGTTTATAATTTGTATAATGTATATGATTTTTACAGTGAACCTTCCCCTTGTCAGGACATCTTAACAACGTGACCCCTACCTGCACCATCTTCTCTCTGTTAGACTTGGGGTTGAGTGGTGCCTCCGTCAGAAGAACTGGGTGCTCCTCGGGTGCCACTCTCAGCTCGTTGTAGTAGGTGTGATGCCACACACGTTCCATGTCGTCCCAGTTGTTGACGATGCCGTTCTCAACGGGATATTTCAGACTGAGGATACCTCTCTTACTCTGTGCCTCGTCCCCGATGTAACAGTCCTTGGTTCCCATCCCGGCCATGTAGACCTGTAGGAGGGATCTCGATGAGTACCGTTTGGTAATAGTAAATTCATACCACCTAGTTGCGAACGTTTAACATTCTTAATGAACATCAGTCACAAATAATGAACTCGTTTCACAAAAATATGAATAGCTGTTGTACTTTTTGAGGATTAACCATCATTTTTGTTACTTTAGCAAATATTCATATTTACTATCACTTCAAACGTATCTTGTCGGAGCTAACGATACAAGGATGTAGTAAAACCTTATTTATTGAATCATGACACCATCTACTCACGTCGTACTTGGGTCTACCAGTGATGGCTGGAAACACAGCACGTGGGGCGTCATCTCCGGCAAAGCCGGCTTTACACATCCCAGATCCGTTGTCAATGACAACAGCAGCAATATCTGTATCGTACTCAGACATGATGTATTGATGGTTGTACTGTTTGTCTTGGTGAAACTTCTGAAATAAAGTGATCGAGTAAGTAGCATTATCCTGAGACCGAAACAACAGCAGTTTATTAGAGGACGCGGCATGCATTATTGTCAAGTATACCGTAACCAATATCCTCATAATATGATATCACAAAATGATATCTAAAGTCTAAAAGTTGAAGGCATGCTCTCTGTCGGTATATTATTGTAAATGTATTTGCGATATCTGAAAACAGGATTTAGTATTAAACGTTGAGTTGAATACATTCATTATATACCGATATAATGTGTCAGGTAGTCTCTCATAGCTAACTACCTACCATCTGACACTTGAGTGTACCGTTACTGTCAAACACTGGTTTAATTAACGCCACCGAGTGATAAAGCTGGCATATTACACTCACTAACTGACCCAACAAGAGAAATCACATTCGCACACTGTAAGTGTAAGAGTTTGCTACAATTATTCCGATTCCAATAATCTTAATCTCAGTATATAACAAATAACGTTACGTTTCACCTACCTGTAGTAACAACTTGACTGTTTCCAGTTTTCGATGTGTTTGATTCCTCCACTATAAACTGCTGGGTATTTATACCCGGGTACTGACCTGTTTCCTGGAATACTCATATCGATTATTCATATTTTTCTCCTTGTATGGAAGGAAATCCCCGATAAATATAGAAGTCGCCCAACTTCCAAGAAAACAGGTGAATCCTGATCTATAAATAGATGTGATTAGTCCCAGGTAGCAGGGCGTCGCCTGTCGCCTACAGCGTGTAGACAGTGAGATACTATATATATAGGTAAATATCACCTTGACCTATATTGGTCATAACACGTTAGTCACTCAAGCTGATGATAGACTTTTGCGTATCGATAATTGAACTGAATTTTGCAACATCACATATCAGTGTTTGTATGTTGACATGGAATATTCAGCTTTCCCTTGTTTTTTCTTATTAATTCTCTATTTAAATGTGTAAATATTTTCAGGAATCACAATTTGAGCTCCTTGTACAGATCGAGAGCACTGGAACTATACATAATTTTGAAATATTCTAATTGAATTATGGAATGGAAAATCACAGCATTGAAACTCACGCAAATAATTTAAAACACATTTATGAAAGATTCGTTCGTATGTATCACATCTGTCTGGGTTTCCTAACTTGTGTCATAAATGTTTTAATACAAATATTAGTACTGTTTCGCACACAACCGTAATAAACAACGTCAATTTTCATTTGTCCCATTTGTAAACATAGAAGCCAAACATGATACATTCAAATGTCAAACTTGATGTGGGCACAAAATTCACCATAAGTGTAAGTGGGCGTTAATATCCCGTGTTTCATTGTTTAAACGTTTTCACGACATTCCTGAAACTTTGAATATGAGAATATAGTTATGTAGAAATTTTGACTTGGTAATATGAAAAGTCTACTCTGACCGCAATAATGACACAAACACACACAAATAGCAACTGACACAGTCTACCCATGAACGATATGAGAGTTACTTCCCTTGGTACTGTGGTCCTTGACGACACAGGGACACCTTCAAACAACCAGGGACTATTTGTAATCTGTGACGTAAGCCAGTTACACGTTTTGCCTTTCGATGTCGACAATGTAGCTCATCATTTTAGAATATATTCAGAAATATGTCAGAAAATCAAGGTTTAAAAAATAAAACGTTGAGCATCACGGTAAATAAATGCTACTGTAGTTGATATACGACCCCTCATATTGTTGCTGACTGTATAAGGAGCGTGGCTGCCACTACTTGATATGGAAGAAAACACGCGGTGTCTCGGGGGTCACTACAACATCGCTAAACACCTATGTATGGATGCTAATGAGGGTTAAAGGCACAATGACAACACTTCCAAATATGGATAGCATTAGCAGTATTTCATTCACATGGACATAGAGCATAACAGCGTATGGACTTGTCACAAACCCATACATTCAGCCAGGATTACATTTACTCTGTGTATATCTTTACTATGTGTATATCTTTACTATGTGTATATAATCATATACACACTGTAAAGGATAATTGCTTTTATATTTCGCAGGGAGTCTACATACGATTACATCATACATGATTATTTATAATGTAAAAACGTTGGAGTCAACTTTGTGTGCAGACTCTTTCAGTGTTGTCACAACCCCTTGTGTACAGTACACAACCCTGTGCACTTAAAAGAACCCACGAATCCGTTGGTATATGACCAGATGGTGGCCACATGAATACGTGCAAACACCTAGTTGCAGGTACAGCAACGTGCAGTGAACTTGGACAAAATACTGTTACTATGTGTCCCAGTCCACCCAGCTGTGAATGGGTACCTCGTTAGGATGAGAAAGCCACAATAACTCGGTGCGCCTAGTGGCTGCAAGAGTTGTATACTCCCCAGGGAGTTGAGATTGATAATACGATGTGCCATTGAGATTGACATCCAATGATCGAGGGAAAAAATATATTAGCGCCTTGAGCAAGCACTAGTTGCCTGGATATGTGCGCTATATAAGTATCATATAATAATATATCTTGTCTAGACAAGCAGAGTTCTGGAAATGCGGGAACGTTGTATTTCTTGATCACATGATCACATGCAAGTGTCGATGGAAGAAAATAAGTGTGGGAATATTTCTGTCTGGAAGTTGTGTTGTGTTAAAAGCATATCACAGAATAGATTCCTTGTTCTTCTGCGATTACTCCATCTAGTAGATCACTTAAAACTGTTAGTGTACGTTTCTCTGTTAATTCTCCGTTCTCCTCCCAAACTACCCGTGAAGGTCCGGGTTAGAATGAATCTTCAGTAACCCATGCTTGTCGTAAGAGATCGGGTGGTCGGGCTCACTGACTTGGCTGACACATGTTATCGGTTCCCAATTACGCAGATCGATGCTCATGCTGTTGATCCCTGGATTGTCAGGTCCAGACTCGATTACTGACAGACCGGCGGCGCCTGCGATATAGCTGGAATATTGCTGAGTGCGGCGTAAAACTAAACTCACTCACTCACTCTCCTCCCAAACATCTCATATGCATAATCGACATCAAGTAAGGACCACGTGCATTTCTTCTTTTGTGTTTTAGGGAAGGAATTCGAATTTAGTTCTGAGTGACCCGAAACTTCAAAGCCACAACTGAATGTTTTTGGTTGAGTGGTATCACCTACAGATGTTATGTAAATCACTGAGTAACCTAAAAAATAGAACAATATGTGTTCACTTGTGTTAGATGCAACAAAAGGAATAATGGCTAAATCTCGCACCTCTTTGCATCGATGGGTCTTTTAGCGCTAAACCGGGGCGGTGGGGTAGCCTAGTGGTTAAAGCGTTCGCTCGTCACGCCAAAGGCCCCGTCGTGATATTGCTGAAATATTGCTAAGAGCGAAACTAAACTCACTAGCGCTAAACCAAACTTTTAGGAGAACGCGTGGCGAATATTGCTTCTATCAGTATTTTAGTGCTGTATTAGATAGTGTATCTTGATATTTATCGTGACTAAAATATCTTGTGTAAGATGTTTACATCATTGCCCTTCCTGGCGTATATGCACTTCTATACATGATTGTAACATGCTATAAGCTTGATTGTATATATATACTGAAAGAACTTAGTATACACCCCCTGACATATCTCACGATTGAATGAGCCCCGATATTAACCTTCAAGAGAATATCGGGACATGATTGCAGGTCGTGTGCAACAAAGGGATCCTCCTGTACAGAACCTGGCCCACCTGGAAGTTGCTTTACACGAGGAATGGCGTAGACTGCCCCTTCATGGGATTAGGAGGCTGACAGGGAATATGAGGAGGAGAGTGCTGGCTGTCATACAGTCACATAGAGGTTACACTCGGTATTGACCTTGAATCGTGTAAGACACGCTAAGTGACAATTTGAATGTTCAGATTCACCAATAAATTCAATATTAAACATTCCAGGGCCATTCTTGTGCATACATGGTTTTGTATGAAAATCAGTTTTTTTGTTTTTTAAAATGAGCAATTATCACAAGAAATTCAACGTGGATTCCAATCATTTCTTAGTGTTTTTATGAGTCAAAGGATCATACGTGTCAGAAAACGTCATGTTTTTCCATCGTGGTTACCACGAGAAGTTTTATGTACGTGTTGAAAACCTATCCTTGCAAAAATAATAAGTTCTTTGTGTATATTCTAAACTAGTTATGTATGATCACTCTGTGGCTGTGATGAACTATCGTTTATTTACTCAGATCTTGGGTTGTGTGGGTATGTTGCGCAAATTGGTACCTCTGCCTAGCAAGCTGATTCTCTAATACTGGCGTTTTCATAAACTAGAGATGCTTTGTATTGCACTGAACGGCCGGAATGAGCGTAGCAGTAATTAGAGACGACGTTTCCTATACCCTGTTGTTGTGCTTGATTGTGAAGGTGATATGGACCATGGACAATCGCTTCTGATAGTTATTTTTCAGATGTTTACGGTCATATCTGGTACAACATTTCATGGGTGCACATTGGTGCAGCATATAACGTTCTTTGAGGTATTGTGAGTTAAATGTATGAAACAGGGATATATGACATTCATGACGACTGTTGAATGCAATAACATGGCACAGACGTATGCCCCTAGATGAGATGCCAAGTTCTGAAACAGAAAATAGCACTTGTGAAGCAGGTTGAAGTTTGGCCAAACACTCCGTTGCCCATTGATCAGCAAATAAATTTATTTGCTTGCTGGAGTGAGTGATTGAGTGAATTGGGTTTTACGCCGCTTTTAGCAATATTCCAACAATATCACGGCGGGGGACACCAGAAATGGGCTTCACACATTGTACCCATGTGGGTAAACGAACCCGGGCCTTCGGCGTGACGAGCGAACGCTTGAACCACTAGGCTACCCCACCGCCCCTGCTTGCTGGAAGAAGCATCGAATGAATGCAGGTCTAGACCGCAATGGAAGTCATCTGTGACGTCAACAATGGAGACGGTCATTGCTTATTGCGTCCTCATAAGTACTGACGTCACAGACAAAACACGTCAACAATCAGCTGACGTCATAGATAATTAGTACATCGGCAATGTAGGCAGGGTAGGCGACTGGCGGACGTTTTGCTTTCTGAGTGTGCTACACAAGTACATGTAGTCAAGTGTTGGTAGGTGAGCGCTTTTCTTCTTATGCGAATTCATTTTTGACATTTTCTTCTCAACCCAAAGCGTGAGGGGCGGTGAGATAGTCTAATGGTTGAAGCGTTTACTCTTCACGCCGACTAGCTGGATTTGATTCCCAACATAGGTACAAATGTTTTCATCTAATGTTCTTAAAATGTTAAAACAATTAGATGCCTGGATATTAAAAGACAAAGGGACAAAACAAATCCGACTGAAACATTTATTCAAGTGACATGACCTATAAACATTGTTGATACACGAGTTCATTTCATGTAATATGTACACATGGACTGGTGTATATGTGATATGTTGTATATGTGATATGTTGTACGGATGGATCGATAAATATATGGTATATACAGATGGAATCATGTACAAGGATATATACACAATGTTTGATAACATCAGAGCCCTTTCAGAATCATGTAAAACATGACGCCTTTTACAAGGCACAGTACTGATTAAGATGAGTAATGATATTGCACGATGTTCTCTACCAACATTACAAACAAATAATTCAATCCATCGTTAACGCAGTGCGAGAAATGTATGTGTGCTATGTTCTGTGTTAACATGCTGGATGGTTTGTGCTTCCACTTGCAACGTGAAGACGTTGCTGTTACGGTTGCAATTTCAGATCTCGTGAAGGACACCTCATTCCCATTGAAAGACTTATAACTCCACCCCTCATTGTCAACTTTCTCTCACGATGTGACGCTCAGAAACATTTCCTGTGAACAATGCTAGGTCCAGATTCATCATACTCCTGCTTGGAGATCCACTGCTGTTGAAAGGTTGAAAGCGAGGCCAAGATGGAGCCGCCGATCCACACCGAGTACTTCCGCTCAGGTGGAGAAATAACCTTGACCTTGATTGTAGACGGTACGATGGCGCTCAGTTCCTTCGCCATACGGTCTGCCAGACCTGTAAAATAAAAGCGTTATTATTTGCACAAAATGTGACAATCATGAATTAGAACAATTTACAATGCAAAGGGGTGAAATGCTACAGAATCGATTACAGTGTACTTTGTCCATGAATAACCATGTCTAATCCCAGACACGGCCATTGCCTTGGCAGCTGCAGCAAGAGCTCACCTGGATACATTGTTGATCCTCCTGACAGAACCACGTTGCTGTACAGATCCTTCCTGATATCAATGTCACAGTTCATCACCGAGCTGTTGACCATCTCGTGGATGCCTGCACTCTCCATACCTGGAGGGAGAACACATGTATGAGCGAAGGTGTTGTGATTATATACTACTGTTTATTATATGTATCAAGGACCAGCATCAAGTATACATGTTTATCACTGAACACTGTCGGTCATCGCCAGTGTTCATAAAGATTCTATTACTATATATGTGTACTGATAAAACACAAAATGAAAACAGTTCCGTTAGAACTGAATCATCCATCATCCTGTAACACTCACCCGTGAAGCTCGGCTGGAACAGACACTCCGGAGCTCGGAACCTCTCATTGCCGATAGTTATCACAGCCCCGTCCGGCAGCTCGTATCCTTTCTCAATGGCGCTGGACTGTGCAGCTGACACCATCTCTGACTCGAAGTCCATGGGAACATAGCAGAGCTTCTCCTTGATGTCTCGCACTATCTCCTTCTCAGCTGCAAACACGACATTTCAACTTGTCACCAACATACTAAACCGGCAATCAATTCCTTTATCACAGGTTTGTTCAAAGAATAATTATGGTGTTCAGGAAACTCACAAGATGTAGTAAAGTTGTATCCTCTCTCGTGTAGAATCCTGCTAAGGTAGGAGGTCAGGTGACGGCCAGCCAGGTCCATTCTCCGGACAGCGTGGGGCAGGGCGTAGCCTGAGATAATCACAAATTAGGTTATACAATAAGTATCGTGTCACTGACAGAATCACGTGTTATGTGGAACTTAAAACCTTCGAGAATATGAAATAACACTTTGAAGTCTATTTTGAAATACCCGGATTTGTCTCACCTTCATATATGGGCACGACGTGCGAGACGCCATCTCCCGAGTCGAGGACGACGCCAGTGGTTCTGCCCGAGGCGTACAGCGACAACACCGCCTGGATGCTCACATAGAAGGCGGGAGTGTTGAATGTCTCAAACATGATCTGTAATAAGGAAACAATCACGAGTCACACTAAGATATAATTTAAGGGTACCCCTATATGTAAAAATGTCCTATATGCTACAATTCTTCTGTTTTAAAAAGATGTACAATTTAGCTTGATTGAAACACATCAAACACATTAGTAACATGCAACCATGAACATATTCCCAGTGAATGTTGTGATATGCCGCTGTCAGCAATATTCCAGCTGCATCACGGAGTCTGTTCAAAATCGAGCCCAGTTAAACATGTGGTTGACATCAAGAACAACTGTCAAAGGACGGTAACTCATGGACAGCCATGTGAATCATTGTAAATACAGGAACTGCATTGGGCTGTTCAAATTTTGGAGAATGTATTTTTTTTCTGATTGGGAGGGGAAGAAGTGTGCCCTTAAATCTCCATAATGGTAAAAATAATTACATGTTTGATGCCAGTATAGAGCACGGTTTATAATGTGTATAATACCAGTGTATGAAATAAGCCAAAAACCCAGCCAGACATCTGGGCTGGTAACTTTAAAAGCCTACCAGCCCAGAAGAGAATTAACCAGTCCTTCTTAAATACTAAATAGACAGTGCCAATGGACACGTTATCTGAATATATTTTTTCACCCGTCCATCGAGCTGGCTAGCTGTAAAATTAGACCGTCCGGCAGAAATCTAGCCCGTCTCGGGCGGTCGGACGGGCATTATTTCATGCACTGATAAAACATGATTTTAACAGTGAGACCTTCCCCTTGTCAGGCCATCTTAACAACGTGACCCCTACCTGCACCATCTTCTCTCTGTTAGACTTGGGGTTGAGTGGTGCCTCCGTCAGAAGTACTGGGTGCTCCTCGGGTGCCACTCTCAGCTCGTTGTAGTATGTGTGGTGCCACACACGTTCCATGTCGTCCCAGTTGTTGACGATGCCGTTCTCAACGGGATATTTCAGACTGAGGATACCTCTTACTCTGTGCCTCGTCCCCGATGTAGCAGTCCTTGGTTCCCATCCCGGCCATGTAGACCTGTAGGAGGGATTTCAGTGGATGAGGACCATTTAGTGATAGTAATTCATACCACCTAGAGTGCGAACGTTTAACATTCTAAATTTACAAATAATGAACTCGTATTACCAAAATATGAATAACTTATTTTTTTGTGGATTAACCATCTTTTTGTTTCATAAGCAAATATTCATATTTACTATCACGTCAAACCTAATGTTGTCGGAGCTAACGATACAAGGATGTAGTGAAACCTTATTTATTGAATCATAACACCTTCTACTCACGTCATACTTGGGTTTACCAGTGATGGCTGGAAACACAGCACGTGGGGCGTCATCCCCAGCAAAGCCGGCTTTACACATCCCAGATCCGTTGTCAATGACAACAGCAGCAATATCTGTATCGTACTCAGACATGATGTATTGATGGCTGCACTGTTTGTCTTGGTGAAACTTCTGAAATAAAATAATTTTGTTACTGATGTTAAGAATGGAACAATACATGCTGTCCGAGACTGGTTCATATATCCCCGCCGAGTGATAAGGCTGACATAGTGCTGACTCTTGCGTAAAACAACATTCACTCACTGACCCTAACAAGTCAAATCACAACCGCTCATTGTTAGTGCACCAGTTTGCTACACATATTCCGATTCCATTAGTGTTAATTTCAGTACATAACAAACAACGCCAGGTTTCACCTACCTGCAGCTGTAGTAACTTGACTGTTTCCCGTTCTCGATGTCTTTGATTCCTCCACTATAAACTGCAGGGTATTTATACCCGGGTACTGACCTGTTTCCTGGAATCCTCATATGGATTATTCATAGTTTTCTCCTTGTATGGAAGGGAATCCCCGATAAATATAGAAGGCATTACTCCAAGAAGAAAGGTGAATCCAGAGCTATAAATAGATGTGATTTGTCCCTTGTCAGGGCGTCGCATGTCGCCTACAGCGTGTAGACAGTGAGATAATATATATGTAGGTAAGCATCACCCTGACCTATATTTGTCATAACACGTTAGTCACTCAAGCTGATTGTTGTTTGTTATTAATTCTCTATGTTAATGCGTAAATATTTTCAGGAATCACGATTTGACCTCCTTGTACAGATCGAGTGCACTGCAATGACACATAAATTTGAAATAATTATAATTGAATTATGGAATGGAAAATCACAACATTGAAACTCACTCTTATGAAGGCTTCATTCGTATTTAGGCCTATTACATCTGACTGGGTTTCCTAAAATGTGTTAGGAATGTTTTAATACAAATATTAGTGCTGTATCGCACACAACCTTAATAAACAACGTCAGCTTTCATTTGTCCTATCTGTGAACATACTACCCAAACATGATACATTCATATATCAGACTTGATGTGGGGACAAAATTCATCATAAGTGTAAGTGGGCGTTAATATCCCGTGTTTCATTGTTTAATCATTTCACGACATTCCTTTAAATATGAGTATATAGTTGAGTAGAAATTTTGACTTTTAAACATTGCACTACACTGACCGCAATAATGACACAAACACAAACAAATATAGCAACTGACACATGAACGATATGAGAGTTACTTCCCTTGGTTCTGTGGCCCTTGGCGAGACAGGGACACTCTCAAACAATCAGGGACTATTTGTAATCTGTGACGTAAGCCAGTTACACGTTTTGCCTTTCGATGTCGACAAAGTAGCTCATCATTTTAGAATATATTCAGAAATATGTCAGAAAATCAAGGTTTCAATAATAAAACGTTGATCATTACGGTAAATAAATGCTACTTTAGTTGATATACGACCCCTCATGTTGTTATTGTCCGTTTAAGGAGCTGCCACTGCTTGATATGGAAGTAAACACGGGGTGTCTCGGCAATCGGTACACCATCGCTAAACACCCATGTATGGATGCTAATGAGGATTAAAGGTACAATGACAGCACTTCCAAATATGGATAGCATTAGCAGTATTTCACCCACATAGACATAGAGCATAACAGTGTATGGACTTGTCACAAACCCATACATTCAGCCAGGTTTACATTAACTATGTGTATATCTTTACTATGTGTATATCTTTACTATGTGTATATAATCATAGGCTAATTACTTTTATATTTCGCAGGGAGTCTACATATGATTACATCCTACATGATTATATATAATACATATCTTGTCTATACAAGCAGAGTTCTGGAAATGCGGGAACGTTGTATTTCTTGATCACATGATCACATGCAAGTGTCGATGGAAGAAAATAAGTGTGGGGATATTTCCGTCTGGAAGTTGTGTTGTGTTGAAAACATATCACAGACTAGATTCCTTGTTCTACTGCGATTACTCCATCTAGTAGATCACTTAAAACTGTTAGTGTACGTTTCTCTGTTAATTCTCCGTTCTCCTCCCAAACTACCCGTGAAAGTCCGGGTTAGAATGAACCTTCAGTAACCCATGCTTGTCGTAAGAGGCGATTAACGGGATCGGGTGGTCAGGCTCACTGACTTGGTTGACACAATTTATCGGTTCCCAATTGCGTAGATAGATGCTCATGCTGTTGATCACTGGATTGTTAGGTCCAGACTCGATTATTTACAGACCGCCGGCGCCCGCCATATAGCTGAAATATTGCTGAGTGCGGCGTAAAACTAAACTCACTCACTCTCCTCCCAAACATCTCATATGCATAATCGACATTAGTTGAGTTGAGTTGGGTTTTGCGTCACATCGGCATTATTCCAGCCATATAGTGACGAGAACAAGTTTGCATTAGTAAACATTGTAAGTACAGAGTCGAAATGTATTTATTTTAAAAACATATATTCATTTCATTGTCATTGAAAACAGAAACCGTCATAGCACTAATTTTAAAGGCAGGCAATTTGTTAGTCACATTACACAGTTACAATTTATGATACAGATCAAGTTCCCTCATGTAGTTCACTATCAGATGAGCGCTCACGCGAGAGAACAGATCTTTCAGATTTGTTGCATCATAATGTGAATCCCTTGCAGGCGATAAGTCCACACAGTCAAGCAGAATACATCCGTTTTCAGCAGATAGTCATGAGTAAACCGACTGTGGCCAATACGATATCGTCGTAAAATTACCTCATCACGTCTTGACTGACAGGTATTAAGTAAGGACCACATGCATTTCCTCTCTTGTGTTTTAGGGAAGGAATTCGAATTTAGTTCTGAGTGACCCGAAATTTCAAAGCCACAACTGAATGTTTTGGTTGAGTGGTATCACCTACAAATGTTTTGATCATCATATGTTATGTAAATGACAAAAATTTCTAAAACACTGAGTAACCTAAAAAATAGAACAATATGTGTTCACTTGTGTTAGATGCAACAAAAGGAATAATGGCTAAATCTCGCACCTCTTTGCATCGATGGGTCTTTTAGCGCTAAACCGGGGCGGTTGGGTAGCCTAGTGGTTAAAGCGTTCACTCGTCACGCCAAAGGCCCCGTCGTGATATTGCTGGAATATTGCTAAGAGAGAAACTAAACTCACTAGCGCTAAACCAAACTTTTAGGAGAACGCGTGGCGAACATTGCTTCTATCAGTATTATAGTGCTGTATTAGATAGTGTATCTTGATATTTATCGTGACTATAATATCTTGTGTAAGATGTTTATATCATTGCCTTTCCTGGCGTATATGCACTTCTATACATGATTCTAACATGTCATAAGCTTGATTGTATATATAAACTGAAAGAACTTAGTATACACCCCCTGACATATCTCACGATTGAATGAGCCCCGATCTCAACCCGATGATTGCACGTCGTGTGCAACAAAGGAATCCTCCTGTACAGAACCTGGCCCAATTGGAAGCTGCTTTACACGAGGAATGGCGTAGACTGCCCCTTCATGGGATCAGGAGGCTGACAGGGAATATGAGGAGGAGAGTGCTGGCTGTCATACAATCACATAGAGGTTACACTCGGTATTGACCTTGAATCGTGTAAGACACGCGAAATGACATTTTGAATGTTCGGATTCACCAATAAATTCAATATTAAACATTCCAGGGCCATTCTTGTTCATACATGGGTTTGTATGAAAATCAGTTTGTTTGTTTTTTAAAATGAGCAATTATCATTAGAAATTCAACGTGGATTCCAATCATTTCTTCGGTTTTTTATGAGTCAAAGGATCATCCGGGTCAGAAAACCTCATGTTTTCCATCGTGGTTAGCACGAGAAGTTTTATGTACGTGTTGAAAACCTATCCTTGCAAAAATAATAAGTTCTATGTGTATATTCTAAACTAGTTATGTATGATCACTCTGTGGCTGACTGATGAACTAACGTTTATTTACTCAGATCTTGTGTTGTATGGGTAGGTTGTGCACATTGGTACCTCTGCCTAGCAAGCTGATTCTCCAATACTGGCGTTTTCATAAAATAGAGATACTTTGTATTGCACTGAACGACCGGAATGAGCGTAGCAGTAATAAGAGACGACGTTTCCTATACCCTGTTGTTGTGCTTGATTGTGAAGGTGATATGGACCATGGACAATCGCTTCTGATAGTTATTTTTCTGATGTTTACGGTCATATCTGGTACAACATTTCAGGGGTGCACATTGGTGCAGCATATAACGCTCTTTTAGGTATTGTGAGTTAAATGTATGAAACAGGGATATATGACATTCATGACGACTGTTGAATACAATAACGTGGCACAGACGTATGCCCCTAGATGAGATGCGAAGTTCTGAAACAGAAAATAGCACTTGTAAAGCTGGTTGAAGTTTGGCCAAACACTCCGTTGCCCATTGATCAGCAAATAAATTTATTTGCTTGCTGGAGTGAGTGATTGAGTGAATTGGGTTTTACGCCCCTTTTAGCAATATTCCAACAATATCACGGCGGGGAAAACCAGAAATGGGATTCACATATTGTACCCATGTAGGGAATCGAATCCGGGCCTTCGGCGTGACGAGTGAACGCCTGAACCACTAGGCGACCCCACCGCCCCTGCTTGCTGGAAGAAGCATCGAATGAATGCAGGTCTAGACCGCAATGGAAGTCATCTGTGACGTCAACAATGGAGACGGTCATTGCTTATTGCGTCCTCATAAGTACTGACGTCACAGACAAAACACGTCAACAATCATCTAAAGTCATAGATAATGAGTATATCGGCAATGTAGGCAGGGTAGGCGACTGGCGGACGTTTTGCTTCCGGAGTGTGCTACAAAAGTACATGTAGTCAAGTCTTGGTAGGTGAACGCTTTTCTTTTTATACGAATACATTTTGACATTTTCTTCTCAACCCAAAGCGTGAGGGGCGGTGAGATAGCCTAATGGTTGAAGCGTTCACTCTTTACGCCGACTAGCTGGATTTGATTTCCAACATAGGTACAAATGTTTTCATCTAATGTTCTTAAAATGTTAAAACAATTAGACGCCTGGATATTAACAGGCAAAGGGACAAAACAAATCCGACTGAAACATTTATTCAAGTCACATAACCTATAAACATTGTTGATAGATGAGTGATATGTACAGATGGATTCATTACATGTGATATGTACAGATGAATTTATCACATGTGATATGGACACATGGACTGGTGTATGTGTGATATGTTGTATGTGTGATATGTTGTACAGATGAATCGACAAATATATGGTATATACAGATGGAATCATGTACAAGGATATATACACAATGTTTGATAACATCAGAGCCCTTTCAGAATCATGTAAA